CATTTGAACAAGAGGCTTTAGCAAATAGAATCAAAGCTAAGATAAAATCCTTAGAAATGAAAAAACATGTGGGTTAAAATGCAGTAATGACACGATGGGATGAATGCACAAACATGGGATCACATCTACCAAATATTTTGGATATCCACTGCACTGATACGGAAGAGGTCGAACATGTTTAAAAGTATGCTCTAATGAGAATACCAGAAAGCCAGGCCCAAAATGCTGACAAGAAAACCATAAAATCAGGTAGGTTGAAGGTCAAGGTTTCCTGCAAAAACCCACTTCCCTCTCACATGCAGGTTCTAGTCTTAGATAAGGGTCCTAGAAGGTCCTCAGTCTCATGGGCTCTCAGATCGAGAAATAATAATACGTTCACCATTTTTAGTTTGACATTATTACCACTCAAGAAGGCCTCAACTGATTTCCCATGAACGGTCTCCAGAGTCATAAGCTTTTAAGAAGCACCCTGGCTACTGCATAAACATGCAGAACAAAGCATCTCCAAGAAAACCTCGTCTGAACATAGATCTCATGTCAAATATACGTATCAAACACTACACATGCCAACACAAGTCCACTCTAATCCTAAGTGTATGCTTAAGCCTGGGTAATGGGCTTATCTCTAAGTAACAATCCCACCCTACAGCATAACAATATTCAGAATAATGGTGCGTGAAACAAAATGCAAATAAATAAAGCAAGTAAGACATATAGATAAACACCTAAAGAAAAAAAAAACAAGATCTAGGATTGACTCGCATAGGGAATCAGAGTCCCCAGCAGAGCCGCCAGCTGTCACTACCGCAAAAAAACAGCGGCGAAGACACATATTCACCATCAAACTTTATTTATCCCAATGGAGAAAGGAAACCATTAAGAAAACCTCAAGAAAGGAAAGAACATGGTCTCACAATCAAATTTTGGGTTTGGAAGTCAATTACACGAGAGAAAGGTATTAGCACCCCTCGCTCCATTGTACTCAATGGGATCCACTCTTATTGTTTTAATCAAAGGGTATGTTTATATAAAGCTTACTTGCTAAGGGAATTCTAGAAACGAAAAGAGGAGAAAAAACAAAAGGAGACTCGATAGGACCTCGCCGTTCTATGCCTATTCCCTCGTGCAATGGAAAAGTCAGAGTCAATGTAGTTCAGAGGACTACGGATGAAAGGGAAGGTTGCTCGCCAAGGATTGGGGGCCTTGTGCCTACGTATCTTCATTCGGACGAGAATGAAGAAATCAGAGTGTCCGTAATTCGTGGGACCACGAGTTGCTTAGTATCTTTTATGGACAATGCTAATGTTCATGTTCCAACAGTTTAGGTGTTTTTCGCTCGTTGTCTGGAGTCCTACGCATTACCTATTTGCTGTAGAACAGAAATAACATGATCTTTTAAAAACAATTTGAGAGAGAATCCCGAAGGATGAAAATGATTTAAATTTGTTGAAGTGTTTTAGAGAAGTGAATTGAATCAATTTTTGATGTGTACACACTAAAGTCTATGACAATAGGAGTAAGTACTTTGTACAAACGATCCAAACGTCTCGCGTATAAAACACTCTAAGAAGAGATGAGGAATGCCTCCCGCTCATCTTTTCACATATATTTAAGGCTTGTGACGCGATTTACACATCGCATTTATTAAGTGTTTTATTTGTGTTAAGAGAGAGAAGAGAATGACACAACACAAGATCTAAGGGAGACTCGATCCTAGATGTTATCATGCAAAATGGTCCTAAGGTTAGGATTAGAAGACGATTCTAGCCTAATGTTGTCATGCAAGATGACCTTAAGGTTGAGGATAGGGAAAAGCTATCCTAATGTTGTCATGCTTGGATCAACAACCTAATGTCTATCCTACCCCAATCTTAATCGAAAATAAAGTTGGACTAGGAAGCCCTAAGGGGACATGCAAAGGGAAGCAAAGACCAGGAAAATAAACCAAAAACAGTAGCAACAACAGCACTTCTGATCAGTACAATGATAAAATCCAGCAACAACATAAGACAACATTTAACAGCATACATTCTCAGAATAAAACAGGTGTATATGATGCATATCAGAGAAGGCAACATTTAATAACATGTATTCAACACAGCAGTAGTGTATGCATCAGCATCATGACATATATTCAAAGATATCAAGGAAGGACGAACAAGAAAATGCATCACAAAATACTAATCAAGCATCAAGATTGTAAGTCACTAAGATTGAGCAACAATTAGCATTTAATCAAAGCATTCAAGAATACAGATGATTATGCATTAACATTTAAACAAATGCACATGGATTTGCAAGGATCAAGTATGAACATGCACCAAGTAAGATCAAGTAATGCTTATGAACATGCATCAAGAATTAAGCATGAGCAAGTTTCAACAAAATTGTACAAGTAGCGTATGCCTCAAGAACAACATGAATGTTCATCAACAACTAAGTATTTAAAACTAACATGCATCCATGAAATCGAGTACATAAACATGAGCATATATCATGAATTAAGCAAAGTAAACATCAAGAACAAGCAAACATCAATGTGCACATGATTAGGCAACATGAACAATACATCAAGAATGCAAAACAAATAAGTCATGAATATGCATCATGAAATTGACGCGTCGTGTGTCGAAGAATCGCATTCATACTGTAAAGTAAGATGAAATAGCTCAAGAAAGTTCCACAAACATGTATCATACAAAGTCATGTGGTTTAGAGATGAAAAGGAATCCAAATAATCATGAAAATGCACAAAAAACACATTCAACAACAGAGTTAATCTATTAACCTCCTGGTGTTTATCGATTACACCAGGAAAAACACCAAAAAAACACGTACAACAATAGTGTTAATCGATTAACACATACAGGTTAATCGATTAACACTGCACTAGAAGCAGAAAAGTAGCTTTTCAAAAAAGATTCAGCAACAAATCACTTCTCCACCCATCCACATGTTAAGGCATGCAATTGTACACAAAAATTACATCAATAGCAACAGATAAACACCAATTGAATCCATCAAACATCCAGATCAACAATCAAAACAATTAAAGGATCAATTAACAATAAAACCACAAGATCTACATTGTGAAAATTGCAAATTAAGCTAAAGTGAGTTCGAATCTAAGAATCACCAATCTACAAAGCAAATATTTTCTTTGGTACTTGTTGTAAACAGAATTTGATAGATCAAGCAAAGAAAATCAAAGATCCAATGGATTCCTAGCAAGAAACTTGAAGAACAATACAATGAGATGAACTTGCTTGAAAATTGCTTCAAGAAAGTGCTTCCGAACTTCAGATCAAGATCCAAATCAACTTCTATTGTAGAATTTGTGTTGATGAAAGGAAATGATGAAGGTTTAGCTCAAGAATTAACAAACTCCAATAAAAAATTTGAGAATCCTAATGGAAGAGTTTTGGTGAAGGTTGAAGATGAAAATGGAGAGTGAAAAGTGAGAGAGAATTGAGAGAAAATAAGAGGGAAATGGAATTATGAGTGAATTTTTTTTTGGAATGGAGCAAATTAGTTTAAATATGGTATAGGTTTGGAGTGTAAATGAGGTTTGGAGTTTGGGTTTAGATTTTTGGTTTGGAATTAGGAGTGAGAATTATTTGAGTTTTTGGAGGGAAAGTGAAATTAATTTGAAAATAAACCAAAATTTGAAAGCATTCTAGATTCTTCTAGTAATGCAAATGTTGATCCTAAGTGATTAAAAGGAACTTGCAACTGCTACAGTCCTGAAAACTGAACTTCTTGGCCAAAAATCACACGTGTTAATCGATTAACACATATATATTAATCGATTAACACATTCAAAATTTTGAATTTTGGTGCCAAAAGGAGGGAAACTTGAAAAATCAATTGTTGCCACTTGTTCTGAGCCTGACTCTGCCTCTGAAGCTTGTCCTTCGGTATTGCACTTGAATAATGCCTGAAATAAGTTGTGAATCTCCTCTTGCACTCAATATAACTTGTTAGAAAAGGAATGGTCTGGTACCAAATCACTGAGTAAAATAAATGTTGGAGCCTCTGATGCTTGCTTCTTAAAAATATGAAATGAAAGAAGTCTTGAGCCACAAGAACATTGTAATCCCATGTCTCAGGAGCTCAATGTAATGCATGGTCAAATGCATATGGAATGCGTATGAATTCTAACACAAGTTAGTTAAGGTTAGAGAAACAAGAGGGTAAATTTTGGAATGCAACATAACTAGTTCGGGAATAACATTTCTTGTAAATTAGGAAATGATTCTAACATTAACTTCTGGAGGAACAATTGGTTAGTATTGGAGCCTCTGAGTTTACAATATTTGTGTGTTTTTTGACTATGTAAAGGTTGATAGAATCATGATTTGCAACACCGGTCATTTGAGCGAGGAGAATTGACTTTGAAACTGGTTTTGTGTTAAATCTAAAAGATTCATTGGTGGTAATAAGAGTGTCTGATTTTAGATCCGATTGCTTGTATTTGTTAAGTTGGTCTGACTTTTTTTACATTTGATCTCTCTTTGTATTATGGATTGAATACCCCTTATATTCTCTTTAATACAATCTTTGTTTATAAAAAAATAATAAAAACTTTCCCTTCTAACTCATATTGCAATTGTAATATTGAGAAATAAAAAATAATAATGAGATTGTTTAAGTGTGTAAAATAAGATTAAAAAGGGTTAGCTTCAAAATCCTTGATTTTCCACCCTTCATTTTTATAAACATTTTTTTTCCTAAAAATTTTGAAAATGTTAAAGTGTTTTTTCCATCCAAATATTTCAAACACATACGTCCATAAAGATAGGAGAAAAGCTCATGTGGGATGGTAAAAAAAGAAACAAATACATGTATATGTATATAGGTCCAATTAAACTTCAAAGTTCAAACAACAACATTGTTTTAAATATAAGTAAAAGAGCATTATCTATATTTGTATTACAAATCATAAATCTAGAAAGCATATATATATATATAGACAATATATAAGGTAAACCTTATAATTATCAAAGGAAAAATCCCTGCATGAAGTTAGTCTCACAAGCCATGTTCTTGGAAGCATTGGATGCTTCAGCTTGAAAATATTGTTGGTATCTGTCCAATAAAAAAAGTTAAAATCATGATCTTTTACCATTAAAATCACATTGCTTGAAAATATTGCTTGAAAATATGCAAAAATGAAGAAAACTTCATTACCCTATTTGCAAAAAGGGTTCTGCTTGGATATCCATAGTCATAGACATAGGGTTGGTTTGAGGTTGCTGAAAGGTGAAGTTGCTATTTCCAGCAACTGAGTTTGAGTTCCATAAGTTTTCCATAGCTTTAAGATTAAACCCTTCTCCTTCAAGCTGAAAATGAATTCTTATAAGCAATAATTAACCAAAAAAATTCGTATAAATTAATGAATTTACATATGAACATGTCCCTTGTGTAACCTTGAGTCTTAGTTGCTTGTTCATGTCTCCTAGATGACGTTCCTACAAAATGGCCGAAAAAATTAATGAGAAATACTACCAAATGAATTTCGACTTACATATACATAATACAGATATAATACAGATGCAACAGCCAAGTCTTATTTCATTAAACAGAGAGTCTGTAACGTTGTAACATTGATGATAATAATAAAAATAAAATCATACGACCGAAAAATTTTCACGATCAATCTTACCCTTTTGCGAAGCTCCTCCATTTGTTCAATCATAATTTGTGTCTACAAAGCAAGAGGTTATTTAAATTTTTTTTTGGTAAGGAAAATAAGTAGAAAACATAAATAGATAGATAATTGCACTACACCTTTCTTTGTCTAGCTTGTGCCAAAGCACCTTCAAGCTGTTTCTCAAGATTCTGCAGCTCCTTTATGTTCAAAGGTCCAAGATCTTCTCCAAGTAACTGCCTAAAGAAATGACATTACATTGTAAAGTAAATTTTCACTTCTTGTTTTCTTATCATTTTTTTTCTTCAATTATTGTTACTATATAATATAACATATAGATGAAAATTGAATACAAAACAATACCTTTGAGTCCTTTGAAGAGACTCATATTTTGTTTTCAGCTTAGACACTTCTTGGTACCAACTCTGCTTAATAAAAAAAATTTAATTGAAATTGAAATGAAAAATTAAAATTTATATTTAAATTCTATGTCTCCAATAGTATTTTTTAGAGGCCTATACTCCGAATATTAATATTTTTTTTCGGTTTAAATTTCGATTTTATTTTGTAGCGGATGTTGCTTATGTACCTGTGTTTCGCCATCGATTTGGTGATCATCTTGTTGAGGATTGAAAGAGCAGCGTTGGTATCTCTCAAGAGTTTTGGCAGTGCTGTGAAGGAAATTTTCTCAGTATTGTTAGGTCAAAGAAATTTTTTTGTCTGAAATATTTTTAATTTTGTTTATAACAAAAAATAATTTTTATACATAACAATTTATACATTATTACAAAGTTACTTCTTTTGTGACATTCACTTTTTTACCCTCTTGTAACATTCAAAGTAAAAATAAAAAAATAAAAAAAAAATAAAAACATTCTCTAATATAGTAACAATTAATTTCCTTACTCAAAATAATTTCTTAGATAAATTATCCAAATTTCAATCACTAAAAAGTATATTAGGATTCCATAAGGATTTTCTTTAATCCAAAAAACTTATTTTATGTTGTTTTTATTTTTGAAAAATTAAATTATGGAATTAATAAGAAGGAAAATTAAAATACAGTATGGAACAGTAAAACCAAGAGTCCAATTAACTTATCAATCCCTGACGATCTTGACCATGGACTCAATCTTAGCTGCAAAAAATCATACTCCTCCAATATTTAATAAAATATAAATACAAAAGAGTATGTAAAAGTTAATTTATCTAATTAAATTTTTTAATTATTTTAATAAGAAACCATGACAATTGATATCGAATAATAATCAAGTTTATATCTATTAATTTAATTAAAAATTCAGTTAGATAAATCATCTTTTAAAGTTTTTTTTACTTATATATCATTTTAGGGAAGTACTACTATATGAAAATCAACACAATCACATCAAAGTGTTAAGAGTTTCAATATTAGGTTAAATGTAAAAATGTAAAACAGAAAAAAAAGAATTAATTAATTTGGCTTTAATTTTATATTTTAATTTTTAAAAACTTTAGGGCTAGCAATAAATGGGAAAAAAAAACATTTTTTAATTGAAATTAGTGTTAAATTCGTAGAAGTAAGGAGAAGATATTTTTTGAATGGATGAGTTTCAAATTTTAAATTAAATTTTACAAAAGAAACTTAAATACACCTTTTTTATTTGCAAAAGAAAATTAACTTCATATATTACTTGGTGGTAGTAGTAGAATAAAAAAAGAAAATTATACCAAAAAAATGAGAAGATTTAGTCATTCTTTAAATATATATATATATATATATATATATATATATATATATATATATATATATATATATATATATATATATATATATATATATATATATATATATATATATATATATATATATATATATATATATATATATATATATATATATATATATATATATATATATATATATATATATATATATATATATATATATATATATATATATATATATATATATATATATATATATATATATATATATATATATATATATATATATATATATATATATAAATGATTTTTTAAGAAACTAAATAGGGTATAAACAAGATAGAGGAAATTAAAATTATGACATGAAAAATAACAAAAAAATGTACAACTAATTGAGTGAAATGATAAAGAAAATTCATAAGGAAGAGAGAGATATAATGGATCTAAATATCCAAAGAAAACAAAAAATCCAAATTTGAAACAATTTAGTTTAGATAACTGAGATTTCTGAGAGGAAAGAAACAATGATAAAACCAAAAGATTAAACACCTAAAAGAAAAATGAACAAAGCATAAAAACTCATAAATTCTTGTGAGTATTAAAAAATTCATAGCTTCAATTATTATTCACACCATGATTTTTGGAAAAGCCCTAGATCTTACAAAATGGTACAACAGATAGTGAAAACACAAACTCCACAGTCTATAGTACTTTTCATGTTTTCACAATTATAAAAAAAATTAAAAAGTACATAACACAAATCTAATATTATTATCATATCATGATTGTTTTCTTCCATATCTATTTTTTTTTCTTTTTTCTGACTTTCTCAGAGAAAGAAGAAGAAGAAGAAAAATCTAGATTTTTATTGTACTATTTCATAACTTCTAAGATGAAAATGAAGTCTTTATATTATCTACCAGATGTTTTAAAAACACTGTTGATTAAAAGTACTTATGTATAGTTAAATCTCAAAAGCAAGAAATTCAGAAACCATTTTGGTGAAAACTTGTTATGATAACATCATCACAAAACCCAAAATATCAAAGAATGAAAAAAAAAAAAAATAATTCTATAAACATTGGGATTTGAACCTAACAAAAATAGTACTAGTAAAAAATTTAAATTTTCATAAAAGTTGCAAATTAATTAAAGATAAAATTTTTAGAAATAAAAGAGAGAATTAGAAATACCCAACACTTCCAAATTCATAGAGTTTTCCACGGCTAGAGAAAATGATGAGGGCAACTTCAGCATCACATAGAACAGAAAGTTCATAAGCTTTCTTGAGCAAACCATTTCTTCTTTTTGAGAAAGTTACTTGTCTGTTTATTTTGTTTTCTATTCTCTTCAATTCAACTCTTCCTCTTCCCATTTTTTTCTCTCTCTTTTTCTGTGTCTAGAAACAATAAACTCTAACTTTATTTATATGAATCCAAGAGGAGAATGTGAATTAGTGCAATATAGAAAGAGAGAGAAAAAAATAAGAATGGTTTGTTTTCAAAGAAATGAAAGTTTGTGTGTTATATAAAAAGGGACAAATTTGATGTATTTTTACAAAAAAATGGAAACTATAATTATTCTTTTTTTTTTCTTCTGTTATTGTTATTGTATTTTTTTGAAATTAATTTTGGTATAATATGGTCTCTTATAGTTACTTCATAAGTTTTTATGATGAAGTTTAGGGCAAGGAAATTAAGATATGTAATGTGTGTGTATAATTGAAGGTTTCACGCGCCTGTGTGGGTCCACGCGCCCATGTGAGGGCTCTTTAGATTTCAACATCAGATAGCAGTATTTGTGGAAATGCACTAACCACCTTCTGCAGAGTCTGGTTACATATTACAATAGTGATGATGAAGGTTTTGCAGGTTGACCAATAATATCTTTGTAGAAAAATATGACTTAGGATATTATGATAGCTAGTAAATATGATGTAAGTGGAACTAAATAATTGTTGTGTTATGGGAGGAGTTGTTTTTAATGGGAATTGTGTCTCGATCGAAAAAGATATAACTCGAATTTAGGTTTACATTACAACTTCTTTCTCTTTGACATGAAGAAAATATTAAGAAGATAATACAATTAAAGATAAAAGTTGAAGTATTCAAATAAATAGAATTGATTAGAAGTAATTTATTATATAAGAAAGGTTAGTTTACAAAAAAAAATGTATATAGCAAAATAAAATGAAGTAAAATTTGAATCTATTTATAACTTGAAGAATCTAAGATGTTCAATTTTCTACAAATCTTGTGCAAAAGCTTTGTGGATAAGGATTTTGTAAAAATATACTGATTTTTGTTATTCATATGCCTAAAAACAACATCGCCTTTTCAACATGATCTCTAAGAAAATGGTGGCGAATTTTGATATGTTTAGTGCATAGAATTCTTAGTAAGATTTATAGTTGGCGTTATCGTATTTGATTGGAACGTAACCAATGTTTAAATCGTAACTCAAACATTGTTGCTTTAGTCATAAGACTTGTGCACAACAGTTACCGTCGACTACATACTCAACGGTCTAAGTGGTAGAAAATATAATGATATGTTGCTTCTTAACGTGCCAATTAACTAAACAATTTTCAAATAAATGGCTAGTATCACTAGTACCTTCCTTTTAGATATGCAACAAGCAAAATCAGAATTGAAGAATCCTACTAAGCTACACTCGCTTCCCATGGGAAATCAAATACCGTGATGCGAGGTTCTCTCGGTGACGCTTAAAGTTAAGTGCACATTCACACACTAAACATAATATTTTGACCTACTTATGATTAAATAATGTAAAGATCCTATAACACCTCTATATTTGGTAATTTTGACCTCCACACCTTGCTCTTCTTTATTAGTTAGAAATTTTGAGGCCATATGAGTAGAAATTCTCTTTGAATGTTCCATATCATATTTTTTTATGAGCTCTAAGGAATACTTTGTCTGACTGATGAACATGTCAGTTTCTGTTTCCTTGGTCAACAATCCTAAGAAGTCATTAAGATCTCCCATCAATGACGTTTTAAATTCCCCCTAAATAATACTAGAAAACTCTTTGCATGAAAACTTATGTGGATTCAAAAATAATATCATCAATATGAATCTCAACTAATAATATATGTTTTTCGTTACGCTTTACAAACAAGGTAGTACCCACCTTACCACAATTAAATACTTTCTTAATGAAAAAGCCATTAAAATGTTCATACCAAGTTGTAAGAGTCTGTTTGAGACCATAGAGTGCTCTGTTAATTTTAAACACAATATTAGAATTCTCATGGTCCTCAAAACTCGGAGATTGTGAGACATAAACTTCTTCGTTTATAAATTCGTTAAGGAAAGATGATTTAACATGCATCTAAAAAAACTTAAAGTCTAAGCAGGATTAAAAATACCAAAAGAAGTCGAATCACCTCAAGACGAACTACGGGATACAAGTCTACTCATAATCAATCCTTTCATCTTGACTATAATTTTTTTCCATTATCCTAGCATTATTTACAGTAATTATGCTATATTCAGTCTTCTTGTTCCTAAACACCCATATAGTACCAATGACAATTTTGTTTGTAGGACGTGGGACAAGATCTCAAACATCGTTACGTTTATATTGAATGAGCTTTTATTGCATAGCAATGAGTCATCCTTCATCAACTAAAATATAAGATACCGTCTTAGGTTCAATTATGAAAATGAAAGTAGAATACTTATAGACATGGTTATGCAGAGAATTTTGTTCCTCTCTTGGTGGTGGATTGATAAGAAATCTAAACCTCTTTGTAGTTGCAATTACTATGATTGATTCAACTTTCCTTTTGATTACTTATAACCTCCTTTTGTATCTAGATTGAGATAGATTATGGTGATCTTTGTAAATGAGTTAGGGTATCCCTAATATCCTTGTGGATAATATTACTTTGCTTATTAAAAAAAAACTCGAGATCTAGTACTTACGCCATTTTTGATGACACCCTAAGTGAAGGTATTGATTATCGTTTTATTTGATAAAGTGTTGCAGGACATGTATGTTTAGAAAAGAGAATATGTGACATCCTATTTGTTTGTGTGAATATTTATGTGTGGAGAAATATGATGTTACAAATATCATTTTGATGTCGAGATTGTTACAAAAATCTTAGGATCTCTAACTTACAAATTGAGTATTATTATGTGTGATTATGGAATGTGAAAGTCCACGTAACAATATGACATTATTTCTTATGAAGTTCATCATTATCTTTGTACTAATATGGCATGGATACATGTTTTGAATTTACCTATTGAGAATAATAGTCTCCTGCAACAAAATATTTTTATGTTGATTTGGCAAAGGGGAGGAAATTGATATGAGGATGTTTATCTAAGTGTTAAGTAATGTGATTTTTTGACCAACCTTTGAACTATGCTTTTTTTGCATTTTCGTATCACATTATACATACTCATAATATTTTTTAATAGTATCGAGGTCTGGAGTGTTTAACCTCCACTTTTTAAATAATGTGAGACTTTTATTTTACAATTATATCACAATAATCTTCCCCTCAAGTGTGATTACATCCACTTATGTACTCCCCATTGTCGCTACTGCGAAAATCGGCGCCGGCTATGACAGAAGAGTCGCCACCGTGCGTTATTTATCCCACAAGAGGGAAAGGAAACGCTCAGAGTAAACCTAACGCAAAGAGGGAAAGGAATGGTCGTCGTAACCAAATCCTGGATTCGGGAGTCGGTTACGCAAGGGGAAGGTATTAGCACCCCTCACGTCCGTCGTACTCGACGGGATCCACGCTTGTTTTCTATCTAAGGGTATGTTATTCTATCTACTCTACAAGTCTGGGTTAAAAAGAAAATAAAATGACTCGGCAAAGTATCGCACTTTATGCCTACGTATTCCCGTCTGGAACGAGAAATCAGAGTCAACGTAGTTCGCCTAACTACGGGTTAAAGGGGGGAAGGTTGCTCGCCGAGATGTCGCATCTCGTGCCTACGTACTTTCATACGGCATGAAAGATCAGAGCAAACGTAGTTCAGGCTACAGAAGACACAAGCTTGTCTGACAGTTTTTTATCTCCTTCTGAAAAGGGTTTCCTGATTAAAGGTCCAAGAGGACAAAAACAGAGTTTGAATGTTCGTTTGAGTTTTTTACGAAAGAACTGTTTTTTAGGATGTTTGCAATCTCAGTCGCACTAGAGACTATGACCCAGGAGTGAACGTTTCGTATGTCACCCAAAGGGTACCACACTAACATCCAGATTATTGGAGAGAGACCCTCCACCAACTTTTTCCCATATAGCTTAAGGCTCGTAACGCACGACTTCAATTAACCTTATTACTGTGTTTTTGAATTTGTTTTGAGAGGAGGAGAGAGACACCCTAAAACTATGGTTGAAAGGGGAATCTACCTACAGTTATCATGCATGGGTCAAAACCTAATGTTTGTCATAATTCCTTCTTGCACAGAGGAAATCAGAGATCCTAGGGGAAACAGCAAAAGAAAGCAAGCAGTAAACAATAAACAGTAGAATGCATGCTATGCAATAGTACCAGTGAGGCAAGGAAGAAAACAACAGGCAATAGGAGACAAGCTCCACCTCAAACCTAAGGGTAATCAACACAAGCAAAAAGACAATACAGAGAAAGATAAAAGATACAGAGGAGGCAACCCAAGCAGCAGCAACAAACTCCTACAGCAGACAGCAACAGCAAGCTCTAAACGGCACAGTTGCAAAGAGCAAAGTTGGCAGCAAGACTTCATCTTCAAGCTAGCTTCTATCTTCAAGCTTCATCAACTTCATCTTCAAGCTCTAGCAAGAACCTCCAAGCAAAGGAACAATCACCAAGATCAAGGTTGCAATGTTGAGAACCCAATGAAAACCAAAGGAAATCATCAAGCACCAACATTGAAATGGAAAGGTATCCTCAAAGTTCTACTCAACTATGGACATACCACACATCCCTCCAAAGGAGAGATGGAGTTTCCCTAGGAGGACTTCATATCATTGGATTGAATAGAAGCACACAATGCATTCTATGTTTGCTGAAAGAATCAAAACTAACTCTAATGGCTCTTCCTAAAACCCTAATTTCCTAAGCTCCTAAAACAACTCCTAAAAGAAAAGGAAACTTCAACTTCAAGCTCCAATATTCAAGCCATAGCATCTACACCAAGTCCAGAAGAACTCACAAAAAGGATTCCAAGCCAAGCAAACTCCAAAGTCACCAACCAAACCAAACAAGCAAAGGCACTCAAGAGACAACAACACAAACACAAGCAACTTGCAAAATTCAACAAAAATAGCAAACAAAGTTATAAAATTCTAATTAAATTCCTAGGGGAGCATGAATGTTTGAACAACCTAGGTTTAAAATATTAAAGCCT